CCAAAAGGAAAACAAATGTTATAATCAAAGGGAAATCGTTCATACTTCTGTGTTTGTCGATAGTCCCCCGGCCCCCCAGCGACACAGCAGTATGTCTGCGGACTTACAACGCTAGAAACCTGGTTTCGATACCAGTGGTGAGCAAAGCATAAATAGCCCATTGTGTAGCTGTGCGCTTAACTACAAACAAACAGACAGTCCGCCGGTGGGACAGCGGCAAGTCTTCGGATTTACAACGCTAAAATCAGGGTTTCGATTCCCCTCGGTGGACAGAACTTTGATATAAGAAAACACACACACACACTTGTTTGTCAACAACAAAAATGTTTTTATATTCTTTAAAACATATGGAAATTATATTTAAGCTTGTAATGAATAAATGGTTTTTAATGTTATGAAATTTTTGGTAATACCATGACAATTAACGTACATCTCGAAGTTACATATGTTTATCAAAAGGAGTTATAAGTGAGAAAAAGTACAATGTATTAGTTTCCGCTGACCCTTACCCCACCTCAAGGGCCATTGTTTCCTTATATCGTCTTCCAAACATTAATCATTTCTACCATTCAAACTACCATTATTTAGTATCAACAGATACTTGTAATACTATCAAACATAAAGAGCAGGAGAGACAAACAATGTTTTGCATTGTTTTGAGGGTTATTTGAAACGTAATGTGTGTGTGAGAGTGGGGGGTCCTGATGTTTGTGATCTAATTTGATTAATTTACTGGAAAGATAGTTGGTCTAATCTACAACTGAATCACGATTTCCAGCGGCATATTCTTTCATTCTTAATGCAGCACGTGTTAGAACACTTGCTGATTGTCACGTTATTATGCATGAAGGCAACTATATACAAGAAAGATATTATGTTAAATTAAAACTGCGACTGGCCTAACCCTGTACAACAAAGATTATCTGTTACGAACTCAGTAACGTAGGGACTGTCAGTGCCAGTGGACAACAATAAGTTAGCTTATTGAGAACTGTCATAACACAGAGGTATAAAAGAACATAGTATAAATATAGAATTAACTAATTTACACTTGTTAACAATATAATAGTATGGGCATGATTTTTCTATAAGGCATGCTCTGCTATACGTTGGTAAAAGAAACCCTACTAGTGCCAGGGCACCAGTTTCATCACCTCATCACAAAACCTGCAAGAAAATGCGACCTACTTCCAAGAAGAAAGGCAACTAATTTCCCCATATCTTTGATACACAAAACTCCTAATGCCAATGTCAAAACTACACTGACCGGTGTCCTGTGTCACTCCTTCAGAGTGAATGATAATATTCTAGCCGCATACGGGAAAGTATTACATTAGAGCGGATGAGATGACTGAACCAATCTAATCAGAAGATTAAATCAAGAGGGAGGCCAGATTCAACTAAGAAATATAGAAAAGACTATACCTGATAAAATTAATGCAAAACAAGAGAATCCAACCTGAAATAAAACTATAATAATAAATATTTAAGCCACATCTTGTTAA